ACTTTAGGTCTCAGGTCAGAAAGAGTGATTTTTATTTTAGGACACATTTGAAATCAGACCGAAGGGATCTGGATTTCCACTCCTTACGAAGCCGTCGCTAAACCCCCTCCGTTAGGGGGAAGCATTGTAAACGCGGAAAATTGTTACGCAAAAAACAATTTGTCAGTTTCAGTCACAACCAGACGCCGGCAGCAGGAAACGATCCCGGAACCCCTTATCTAAAGCGGATTGAGCGAACCCCTGTCCCCCTCCACCTCATCTGGATACATTTCTTGCTTCAGAAACTTCCTCTCCTGACCCAAGGACTTGCCTGTTCCTTGTTAAAAGGAAGACACAATATCTCAAACTCCCTTTCCCTCCCCGCGCCATCCTTCCTCTGAAGTTTAGATGAAGGTGGAAGGTTTGAAAAACCATATGAGTGGAAATTGCATTACGATACTGCAACTTGTCGGGGTCGCGGGGCTACTGGACCCTAACCCTTACCGGCAGGTTCCTGTGGCTGGTGCTGCTCCTGGGACGAGGTAGACGCCCCATATCCAGGCGCGGGTGCCAGGTCGCCGGGCACCAGCTCACTGCCAGGGCCCGCGAGCTGCGCGCATTCCCTCGGCCGCGCATTCCCTGGGAGGCTGCAGTCAGAGCGCTCTGAAAGGGAGGGCGGCAGAAGACACTCCCTCTCGGTTCATGCAAATCGCTGGGGGAACTTCAGCCAATAGTCACCGGCTCTTCAATTAAGGACTGGAACTCAAAGAGGGGCAGAAAGGCGAGGGGGCAGAAGGGCACATTCATGGTTTCCTGCCCCAGACGCAGGTACCTCCTGACTCTGCCAGAGGAGCTGGAATGGGGGACTTGGTCCTGATGACTGCGAAGAGGCACCTCCGGGTAGGGCACAGTAGCGCTTGCCTACCAGCCTCCTTCCTTGTGGCACCAGTCAGATGCCAAGTCCACAGGTTGCTAGCAAGAGAGGGAGAATTAAAATAAATAAATAAGCTTGTATTTCTGGACGAAACGAAGAGAGGAAGTCAGCGCCACAGAGCAATCACAGGCGCTGTCCCAAAACGCCTGCTTTGCTACCAGTTCCTCCTGGAGCCTCGGATCCAGCAGTGTTGGCAGAGAAAGAAAATGCACTTTTCTCAGCTTTGGGAAGGAATCTCAACTTCTGTGTAACATAGGGTAAACTGGAAAAGTAAATACACGAATTCAGTGAAGGTTTGCACATAACCCCAATTTTGAATCTTTGCTGTGGGCGGTGATAGACCTTCTGCTTGTTTCCTAGTTGGAGACACAGTTGTCTCTGGGTGCCTGTCTTGTGGTCTTCTTTTAGAGGCAGTAGTGGCTTCTGGACACAGGGAAGAGCCAAGAGGAAAGTAGAAATAATTGTCCTGTAACACAAGTAGTTCTGCCTGCAAGTAATCTTTAACATATTTATCCAAGAGGTAAATTGGTGTGGGAAGGGGGAGGAATTCACTGAAGCCTAGGTTAAAAAAAAATATTTTTCAAATTGATCCTTCCTTCCTTCCTTCCTTCCTTCCTTCCTTCCTTCCTTCCTTCCTTCCTTCCTTCCTTCCTTCCTTCCCTCCCTCCCTCCTTCCTTCCTTCCTTCCTTCGGCTCTTGATCGCTCTCTTTCTCCTGGATTGCCTACTGGGAGATTGGTCCTTGATAAAGGAATTGTGGAAGAGTGTGGTGTCAAATGCTTGCATATCCTCTATGGCTTTGACACTGAATAGGCTACGCCAGGTGGAGTCACCTAACTCCTGGCTTCTCTTTTCTCATTTATGAAGTCAGGGCCAGTGGAATACTCAGTGCATTAAGCCTGTAAAACACTTTTTGATGTGCAGGGTGCCCTATAAGTAATGGAAAAGCCCATTTAGCCTTTCCATAAGAAGACATTTCTCTTCATCTCTAGGCTCCCAGGTATCCTCTGCACTGCCTTAAACCTAAAACACCACATACTGAATGACCAATGACTGAGCCTAGAATGGAAAAAAGGCCTTTGATATCTGAATTCCATATGTTTTCTGTAGGAACTACTTCAATTTTCCTCTTCCATGAAATACTAACTAGAATATAAATTGCTTAGCTGAGCTGTTTTGCTTCTGATCCTTCCTATTTTCTCATTTTGACTAATCCTAAAGACAGAATCCTAAATATGGATAACACACTACCTCAAAACACCTGGCAGGTAACAGCTTGTTATTGTGCAAATGGGGTTGTATGTGGACTTCACAAGTCTCTCTATAAGACAAATTTGTCATATAATATAAATCTGCCTGGTAAAATCAGTTCCTTCAAACTCTACAGTGAAATTGGAGTGCTGATGAAGTGGCAAACCTTGGCTTCCAACCACCGCCCTCCCCCCACCCCACCACACACACACACACACACACTCAGAGGAATGTGCACATCTGAGTTTAAGGCTGGTGAACAAACTGCAGTCAGGGAAGCATGATCTGCCTCCTTTAGCTTTTTAGCTGCTGCTTCTGCCCTAAAGCTGAACTTTTACCATAACTGGTAAATATTTACTTTGAGGTCTGTAGTTGAAATTTACTTGACTCCCCAAATCAGTACCAAGTTGCTTCTGAAATGTGTTTAACTTCTTTTCTTTACACAATACCCACAGCTTCCCAAAGTTGGAGGCACATGACCACAGTTAGGCAATCTGTCAGTGGTCAGAGGACTTGCAATCTGAAACAATTCTCCATCGAGACAGAGCGACAGGGTGGGCTGTTCATCCACTCACAGCTCATGCCCTCTCCAACAAGTTAAGATCATCCACATTTTTGGTGGAAATGTAGGAAGTTATTTTCTTTATTTTTCCTTCATAGTACGGGAGCTATTGTTTATGATGGTAGTCCAAGTGAAGTGATATTGTCTGTTTGTAATTATTTCCCCAAGTCTTTAATTTTCCCTGGACCATTACTTTCCCTTTTCCCTACTTCGCAATGGATGATTATAGTATAGATGCACTTCCTTTTTAAAGTATTTCCCCATCCCAAGCCAGCAGAATCTTGGTCTTCTGACTCTATCACCCAGCTGAGGGTTCCTATCATACCTCCCTTTGTAAAGTTGAAATTAAATTTACCCATTTGCCCATAAGTTTTCTAGAATGTTTCTAAAAAGCATAAACATGAATTACAGCAAAAATTCTTCATGTAAGTTGAAACACGAGAATCGAACACATCTTGGAAATCATGTTTGGAATGACAGTAACAACCACATTTTCTCTTTAAGTGACTATGGTGATTGCAAAGTCCCTGCATGGAAGTTTGTCATCAAGACTGGGAGATCTTGGTATAATATTGAGCAATATCTTACATATCACATTTCAAACCATTCACTGAACTACTTGGTGTTATCTTTCCTCTCTGAAAATCCGAAGGTTTTACACAGGTTTACACCGGATTGGGCTTAAAACAAATAAAAAGGACTAAATAGACTTCTTTCTTCTCATGTATCCCTTCTCTGGGAATTGTGAAAACATTCCTAAACTCCTATTCCTTATGATGCCAGCCTGTGACCTACCTTCTGGTGTCACACATTTCGAATGATGACTCAGAGAGCTTCTATGCTATTAATCCCTTGAAAATAATGCTTATGAATTTCTTAGACTTCTCAATTGCTCTGGGCCTGCTTCCCAGGTGTTTTGTAAAAATCGATCTAGAGGAATGGTTAGATTATATGCCTTCCAAGCCTATTTTTTTCTGTAGACAAGGAAAACAACAGGATACAATAGATGATGCACTGAGCTGAACCAGAGAAGTGGATTGCATTCCCTGGGTTGTTGCTAAGTTCTTGTGTGACTAAACAAGTCATCACCGTTCCTTGTTTCAATTTCCTAGAAAAACACCCCTACACACTTCATGCACGTATATGCATGAAATGGCTTACTTCATAACCGGCATTAACAGATACTGCATGCTGATACACAGGTTGACTTGGTTACTACTTATTGCATTCTGTCACTAAAAGTTACTATTTTTCAGGTACTACAAGCCTTCTCTTTGTAATTTGATTATCTCCACTATAAAAATGTGAGCATTATTGTAAGTATCTATCAAGAGACCATCTTTAAACTTTCTGTTTTAAATCTTTTAAAAAAATTGAAGCACTGTGTTTTACAGGTAGTTTTATTTGTATTTTTTCAATTAATTCTACTTCTACTATTTAGATTAGTTTAATAATATTGTGGTATACACAGAATTTCATGTAATCAATATATACACAGATATATAAACCTACCCTGAACCATAACCATGTACATGTTCTATAATTCATAATTGCAAATAAATGTAAATGTAGAATATTACCTTATTTTAAGACCCTTTCATTTTTTTGTCTTGTTAATAGAATATTTAATATTAGAAGTCCCCTTTAAAAGTATAAAATATACCACCTATAAATGGAATATATAATATATATACAATGAAATATTATATCTGTATTCTTTTTTTGATTCAATTACCAAGGTTTAGGGATGATTATATTTGAAAAACCAATATAATATTCAAGAAATAATAAATTGATTATTTAGTGTCAATTATGTTTTAAACATGTTACTAGGAGCTTGACATATGTAATTTAGTTAATCCTCATCCCAGTTTTATAATATAGTTATTATTACGCCAGCTTTATAGCCATACATAACATGCTTGTCCAGAGCCTGATCTGTGACCTTCAAAATATGTGATCTTTCTACTCTCATATGCCCTTCTCATCTGAATGGGAAAATACAGGGTCTGCATACATTTAAATGTATTTCTATTCAGCAAATATTTATCACTTTTTTAAAATAAAAAAAATCAAAGGGAAAGATGTGTTTTATGACACCTTTTTGAAAGAAAGGATTCTTTGGTCCTTTACTACTTCCTAAATAGATACATACACAAGAATACCACTTGTCTAAGCTGTTTGGCTAACGTAGATCCTCTCCTAATGTATACACATAAAATATATAATGTGTGTATAGCTGTGTGTATACTTGAAGGTACCAAAAAGCCTTGGGTAATTTTAGGGATCACCTAGTTAGCCCTCATCTTACATCTTAGTTGATGGTAACAGAGATGACTTATAGCAGATTCAAATTAGGAAAACACTTCTATTTCTTATAATAGTATTAGATTTTAGCCTCATGATTGCCCTGATATTAGAGGATAACTTATAAAAACAGTATATTTTTAAAATCATCTATGGTTAAGATAAAAAGTGTTGTCTTAGAGTTACTTTGATGTTTATTTATTTTATTCGTTGTTTAAATTTACAAATATTTGCTCCGGATCTGAGTTCAAGTCCTGGACATTCTCATCAATCTTCTGTCTCGTCGATCTGTCTCAGATCTGGAACAAGTAAACTTGATAGGCATTTATAGAGCTCTCCAATTTAAATACATAAGGTGTACATTCTTGTCAGTGCCACATCACACCTACTCATAGGTTTAAATGAAATCTTGATCGGTCGTTATTAAGCACAATTATTGGCATAAAAGAGATTTTCAATACCCATTTTTAGAATAAAGCAGCATTCCCGTTCTCTCTCCCTCTTTTTCTTTCTGTCTTCCTCTTCTTCACTCCTTTTTTCTTTCTTTCCTTCTCTCCTTTCTAAAAAAAATTAAATAAATAAATAAATAAATTTACAAATATTTTTAAGTAACCACTGATGTAATTACTTTTTAAGTATATCAGACTAACTTAAAAAAATCCTACTTCATTTCCCTACAAGATTCTAACATTAATAGTGAGACTAATAGGAAATCAGCGATGAGGCCTTTGCTGAAAAACTTGAACAATTAATTTAGTAAATAAATATACGTTTACATACTTGCACTAAGAGGGTGCAAATGAGCTAATTTACTATAAAACATGTATTCTAAGCATTTACTACTCTACTGTGCAACTGCTAAATGGGACCTTTGTGAGCATTATTCTGTCTTAATGATTGCTTCCTTTATGTTTTGGAAAACTTTATATAAATGGGTTTTACATTTCTCCTCTTTCCCTATATATTCCAATAGGAAAGAATATGATAGGGTGGAAGGGTCCTTTCATTTCAGAACTCAATTAGCATCACTTTAACAGGGATAAAAATAACTGTGTGAAGTCATTAGAAAACCCCAGGCCTAATTTTAGCTAACATTTTCAACTTTTCCTCCTTATCCTGAAAGTAAATTATAAAAGTCATTTTCAACTCATTTTAATTTCACATTCTTCCTTCTCACTTCTGGTAGAGGTGATAATGAGCAGTGAAATCATCAAAAGAAAGGTGGTGGGGTTGAGGGGGAAAAGAAATGAAGGGCACAGAAAATCCACAAAGTGGATCAGGAGTTGCTGAATAAAGAACAGTGAACTAAATGCAGTTTATTGATGATGCATATGCCTTACTTCCTGGAGTCAGTCCCTGGGAGATTTGAAAGAAGGAAAAAATACAGGCTGTGCTGAGAATAAAGCAATCATAAACCCTATGAATTAGCATAGAAATTAGGTCAGGGCCAAAACAAATCTATTGAAGGAGAGGAAGAATTTTAAATTTTGTTTTAGGAGATTGATTGTGTATTTCTTCAGATACCTATTTCTCATTCTCACAAAGTTAAATGTTACATATGGGAAAGTTTAATGAAAATTTATGCTCAAGTAATGTTTTTATACAGATCAACAGATCTTTTTACTGGCTTGATAAAAATTTCTTTCTATCTGCCTCTGTGAGTCTAAAGTGCGATTGTTAAAAACTGCATGACTGTTCTAATCTCAGTGTGTGTGGTATATATAAAAGCACTGAATGAGTATCATAGGGTCAGTGAAAGACTTTGTCAATGATGTACGTAGTCAATATTATCATGGCGAAAATATGAACAGCTACGATCACTAGCTGCTTCTTTCTTGATATCTTTTTAGAAGGAGAGTAGAGGTTGCTGACCTCAATTTCATTTACTGCTAACAGCCAGCAATATTCGGCACCTAACTCTCACCAAGTGCATGGGGGGCATTGCATGGAATATTCACAAAGTCTCTGCAAGTTAATGATGACCCCATTTTACAGATGAGGAATAGAAGGGTTTTAGAGGTGAAGTAGGTTGTTGTGGCCACACAGCTTTGAAAGTGGCTAAGTTAGGAGGAACAAGGAAAATTTGAGTTAGTTTATTATCATGTTGATGAGTCTTTTAAAATCAAATATAGGGGATATTCTAATATTCACTGAAGCAAGCACATATGTTGAATAATGAATATGGAATATGTACACATTATAAATAATGCATATAATCTGATAGTAACAGAACCATTTCAAAAATACCAAACATCTGGAAAAATTAAACAATTAAAAATTTAAATAAAAATGTACATAAGCTATATTTCTGAAACAATGAGTATTCTTTTTTTTCCAAATTATTTAAATTATCAAGAAAAGAATGTGGGTTTTATAACAGAATTTTTATTAACGGTTTAGAATTAAATGGCAATAAAACATTTACTTGGAGAAAAGAATGTGCTTCTTGATAATGAAATTGTAAACATCCTAAAGGCCCACCATTTATTAATTGTAGATAATATTAAAATTTCGTCAAGTTGATATCAACTTTGTTTGGAATCCAATAATAACAGATTTTTTGTGGATTGCTTCTCTTTATGAATAGATAAATTCTGCATTAACTAGATTTAAACAAAATATGAATAGTAATTGGTTTTTAATAAAATTTTATTAATAGCTTTATTTTAAATATTCATATGTTCTTTTAGAACTCAAAATGCCAAACAAATGTAAATAAGAATTTAGATTTTGTCCAATTTAACAGTCACATAGACAAAGCACAAAAAAGCTAGATGGAAAAAAGAGATTGGGAGCTTTCCATGGGAAAAAAATATTTTTTATGGCATTTTTCTTTAAATAAAAATAATTAAAACTTTTTAAAATGTGCCATAAGCATGGCATATATTCTCTCAAACTCCTGACCTCAAATAATTCTCCTAACTGTGCCTCCCAAAGTTCTGGGATTACAGGCATGAGCCACTGTGCCTGGCCAGCATGGCACATGTTCTCTATAGGAACAACTATTCTTATTCTAAATGTGGATACACATGGTGTGCTTTCTTAAAAAAATAAATAAATAAAGCACAGTTACTGCCACTTTGTATTTCAGTACCTCTCCAAAAAAATCCAAATCTGTTAGAGTCCTGCCAGAGCTTGTTAACTATTCAGTAATGATCAGAAAAGGCATTTAACACGCAATGTACACCAGTCATAAAGCTGAGAGACCTCAGGTATCCTTGATAGCTGTGAGTGTGACTATTGAAGCATGTCTGTGGGATTTCTGGATCCAGGTTGATTCAAGATGCCATCTCCACACAGCCATATATTATTTAAGGAAAGCTCAAATAGGCTAGCCTGGATCCTTTAAATCTGCATCATTGCTAAAGGCTCTCTGAGGTGTTACACAGCCTACAATAGACCTCCTTAATTTCATAATCAAAGCAGCAGTGAGCTTTTCAGCAAAAACAGACAGGTTTTCACTTATCACTTAAAACCATTTATCAAAAAATACTAGAAATCTTGACTCAACTTTATATTTTCCCTCCAACAGATTTTGGCAAGTGAATGCCATATTTCTCAGAAGTTATCAGACACTAAAGAAGGGTCATATCAACAGAGAAGGTGTCACACTCTTCTTGTTACTGCTTTTCTTACAAGCCCTTTGCACATTCATAGTCCACTTACCCTGACTTTGGTGATGCTACACTTAATTGTGTTTTGTACCTTATATCTCTGTCCTATTTTTGTCCTTGCTAGGGTTCCTTGCTCCTTTTATCACCTTTTAACTATAGGTTTAAGTGTCTGCAAATGTTGTTTCTTTTTCTTTCTATAATCTCTCACTGGGGAGTCCTTTCATTGTAACTCTAGTCATCCGCTTCTATATTTAGGCCTTCCAATTCCACTTCCAATGCCCTCGAATTTTATGCATCCCCAAATTTTCCTGTAATTAGGAAACATTTTCTAGAGTTGAAAAGTTTTTTTCTCCCTAGGTGAAATCTGATCCCTAAAGATTTTTATTTCCTCTTGCACAAAATGACCTGTTCCCCATCGACAATCTACATAAGATAATGCTTCTAGCATAAAACAGAAACATCCATACTAACAAACATATTCGCTACTTAAAGGAAGTGCAAAAGTATATTTATTTCTACATCCAAACTATTATGAAATCAACTACCACTGCCAACTGTTGGTGGAAGGCAGAACTGAGGTACATGGCTTTGTTCTCACCATATTAATACATAGAGGACTGACTGTTCTTGGAACATAGCAGATGTAGAAGTTGGGAAAAAAGCACATAGTTAAACAGAGCACCGTTGCCTGAGAAAAGTCAACTGCCTGACTCACAAGAGGCCTCAGAGAGTGGCATTAGAGTGATGAAATACAATAACAGCTGCTAGTTTTTGAGTATTCACTGGACTAACATATTTATGTGTATGTGTATGTGTATGTATATGTAGTATATGTATGTAAATATGTGTGTGTGTGTCTATGTGTGTTGTATATAGATTTCTACAGATAGGTATCATTATTCGCAATTTAAAACTGGGAAAATTATAGCTTAAAGCATTATGTACCTTATCCAAGACCACACAGCCATCATTTAAATCCTATCAAGCATTACCTTAATTCAAGCACTATTACCCTGAGTCTCTTAGGCTATACAGTCTATAGGCTGAAAAATTGAATTTGGGGAAGGAGAGAGGATAGAGAGAATATTTTAGAATCTCAGGCATTAAGTCATACTGCCCTAATCTGACAATAAACCCCAAATTTCCCCTGAGAGTTTGTTTACAGCCTGTTTTCCCATGGAATTGATTGGGCTCCCTTTTATTCTTAAAGTTTAGACAATAAAATATGTGGTCAACTTAAATTATTCATATTAACAAGATTGGTACAGAAAATCAATGTGCATGAAAATATAATGAAAATATGTTACAAAGACTTTCATATTAATGTACCATGGTCACTGCACTTTTTTCTGAAGACAGATCACAGTGAGAAGCCAAAGAACCTGGTGAATCAGACTGTAGAATGAATGAAATGTTTATTCACAGCGGGCTGAAGCCTCGAAAGACTCAGCCGATGGAAATGGGATACTTACAGTCATTTGGCTTTGATTCCCTCTGTGCTTCACGGTGCTTCCATGCATATTTCCTCTGGGATGTTCTTCTTTCAGTTTCGAAAGCTGGTAAGTCTCTGCTGATGAACACATGATTTTAAAAACACAAAACCTTTCTCAGGGCTTGGGAAGCCTGAGGTCTGAAAATCACTCTCTTCTTTGAAGAGCTCTTTCATGCTTCCGTTCTTATTGTTTGTTGAATCAGAGGAAAAGACATTTTCCCTTATTTTCAAGGTATGAGAAGGCATTTCACTGTAGTCTATGGTTATGGACCAAGGGGACAGCATGAGCCCAGGCTTTGTGATCACATGGACCTTGCTTCAAGTCCCCATTCTGAAAGTTACTTACTAGTGGTGTTACCTTGAACACTACTTAGAATTTTGAAGAATCAATTTATATCCCAATTACCCTGATTTGATTATTGCACATTGTATGCCTGTATCAAAACATCACATGTACTCCATAAATATATGCAACTATTATGCACTCATAATAATTATATGTAATACAATTTTAAAAATAAAAGTAATTAAATGTTTATAACACCATTTGCTAGACAGTATCATAACATTATATGTGTTAAGTTATTTAATTTTCATAGTAATCATTGAGCTAGGTACTGTTATTATCATTATTTTAATAAGACTCATAAAGCAGCTATGTAACTTGCCCAGCTTTCACAGCCAATAGTGGAGGAGCTGAGACAGGAAACAAGGCCAGTTGCCTCCAGAACTCTCAGTCAACCATTTCTCTGCACTTTCTCCTGTAAAACAGGATTAGGAGTACTTACCTACCTCAATGAGTAGTGGTACGTATTTTAATAAGTAAATGTATTTAAAGTGTTTATCACAATTCTTGGTACAGTTCAGTAAATGCTAGCTGTAATAATCTTAATTATATTCTCCTTTTCCCTTCTTTCTTCCAAGTATTCATTTTCATTCAAATTAAACCATGATTCTTTTTATTTCCTATACACTATATAATTATTGCTATTTCTGTACCTATGACAGTGAATTTTTCTTCAATTAAAAATTCTTGTATTGTGTGGGCTTCTTTTCTAAAATGCGATGTTCTTCCCAGTCCAGTGTATGTTATTTTATTCACTGCACTTTTTGGTGACTTCATCCACATTGACTTTGATTTCTCTCAGTTTTTACTGAACTAAGATTTTTTAAACCATCTCATTTGTGTTTTATATAAGTTATGATCATTTTGCATGTCTTTACAAATTGTTCTGTATCATTTTTGGACAGAGTGGAATTTCATCATATCACTTTGTAGTATGGACATGAGCATTTTAGTTGTTTCAATATTTTATATAAATATATTTTCAGTGATGCTTATTTTGTTCACATCTTTGAAAATATTTATGATAATTTAGCATGAATCACTAAATATTGAATATATGTTTTAACTGGAATGTAAAATTTTAAGACTTTCTGGTATGTTTAGAAAGATATCTCCAGATATTTTAGTTATTTATAATAGCATTGGAAGTATGTGAGGGTACTCATTTCTTCAATAAATATCATTATTGGATAAAAGATAGTTTATTTATTTCCAATATGATATGTCCAAATAGCATTTATTTGATGGGAATATTAATAATTTTGACAATGAAAAATGTCTCCCACGTGTCTTTGGAAGGGGATATTAATAGTTTTTCTTATTGTTTTATGAACAATACTATAAATACACATACGATATGGGTGTCATTTTTTAATACAAATGTTTGCTAAGTTTCTTGAGTATTTACTGTATCTTAACTTGGATTTCCCCAATTAAATAACAAGCTCTTAATGGATAATGGTAAACACAGACCAGGCAGATAGTCAATGTTCAATTAATAATTTTTAAATGGCTGAAAGCAATAATCTCTTAAATTTTAGTTAATTAAGTACTATTAAAATATCCTTGAGTCTCTCTAGCAGTATAGATGATAAATTTCCAGATACAGGAGACTCTGCCTGTTAAAATAATATCTGCCACAACACTATTTATCTCTTTTTAATGCTTGTAATAATGAATATAAACATAAATGTTATTTGACTATGATATGTTATATTGTTCTCTAATGTGAGCATAATCAATTTAATTAATATTCTTTTACCAGAGGTAAAATATGTGATTAATTTTATTAAAAAAAACATAAAAATGTTTTTGTCCAAATTAAATACATTAGAAATATTGTATTCTCATTTTTATTTCTGCTGAATGGACCTTCTACCATCCAGAGACTGTTGGCACCAGAGATCTGCTAGTCCACTTTTTCTTCTTTCTTTGGTCAAATTGTTCCCTAAAGTATTGCAAAATGAAAATAATGTAAAAATTATTTGCTCCTTCAGAGATAATGTTTTCTTTTTTTCTGCTTTGAAAAACTGTTCTTTTCATATTTGTCTCTAGCTTACAATGAGTTAGCAGTAAATGGGCAACTGAATGGAAATGAAGACCTTAGAGTTGCTTTCCCCATGGAGTCAGTGCTTTTGGGTAACCAGTGACTCTCTATTCTTTCTGTGGCTTACAGTATATTTTCATTATCTGCAAAGTACAGAAAATAATACCTTTCTCTGATGTCATGCAGATTAAGTAAAAAGTGTGTCTGTCAAAAGCTTTAGCAAAAAAGAAAGTTCTTATTTCACTCCCAGGGTTGGAGATGAATTCAAGTGGTCTTCCATGCAGAGCTTGATAAGATCAAGCTGTAATCAGCATTCTAGAAGAATTTCACGGTAACCTTTTATTCTTCAACGCCTACCAGTCTTCACTATTGTCTCTCTCTACCTTTTCTCATTTCTTCCTGTTACCTAGTTGATATTTTCTTATGTATAATAGAAAAAACAGTTTCTAAAGATCAAAGATATTATCAATAAATCAGCAACTGGGCTATTGCTGTCAATATGAAATATTTTATATGAAAAAATATTATATATCTGATTTGAGCCATTTTGTATTAAGGTAAAATTCGAGACTTTTTAAAACTTGAGTTGGTAGGCATTGCAGAAAGTGTAAACTAGGTGTATATTGTTTGAACTTTATGACACGTGAAATGTTCTCAAACTTAAAATCAATTAAATAAATGATATACAAACTGCTTTTATTAATAAGAATTACAAAGCTGTATTAATCCCTTAGTTCAATAAAATTTTGCTGGCAACCAACCACATAACTAGGTACTATTATCATCCCAGTTATAGATGGGAAAATCGAGGCACAGTGTCTTAATTTATTTTTATTGCTATAAAGGAATACCTGAGACTGGGTACTTTATAAAGAGAAGAGGTTTATTTGGCTATGTTTCTGCAGGTTGTACAAGAAGCATGGCACAAGCATCTGCTTCTGGTGAAGGCTTCAGGCTGCTTCCACCTATGGTGGAAGGTGAAGGGGATCAGTGTGTGCAGCGATCACATGGTAAGAGAAGAAGCAAGAGAGAGAGAACAAAGAGGTGTCAAGCTCTTTTTAACAATCAGCTCTTGTGAGCAAGAGCAAGAACTCACTCACTTCCCTGAGAAGCCATTCATGAGGGATCTTCTGCTAGGACCCAAACTTCTCCCTTCAGGTTCCACCTCCAACATGGGGATCAAATTTCAACAGGCAATGTGGGTGACAAATACCCAAACTACATAGTACACAGTGCGTGTACTACGCAAAGTTATAAATTAGTTTCAAACTTTCGGCAGCTTAACACAATCAAGGTTTATTTCTTACTCATATTGCATGTCTATTGCTATCTCCATATATTTTCACTCAAGGATCAGGCTGATCTCTTTCGCCATGTAATCTCTGTACATACCAGCTCTTCACCTTCCACCAGGAGTGGAAGTAAACTGAAACCCTTACCAGAATTGGATGCTGCTGCCATTCTTCTTGTACAGCCTGCACAACAATAAGCCATGTAAACCTCATTTATTCAGAAATTAAGAAAGACCATTGCATGTGACTCATGTCCAGTTCTTAGCTCTTAGTGTCACTGTGGGAGGAAGGAGTAAACATGGAGCGCTCATAGCAGCAATGAAATGGCTTAACTAAACTGGACACACTTTGCTTCCACTCAGCTCACTGGTCAGAACTCATCATATCCCTTTCATTCCTACAGTCTGTAAGAGATTAAAACATGTAGACCTCTTTTATACACAGGAAGAAAAAGGGAATCAGATTTGAACACAGAATAATTTTAGAAGAAAGTTTAAGTAGCTCATCCAAAACCCAACAGCTGGTAAGTGGTGAAACTGAGATTTATCCAGATAAACTGACTGCAGAGCCAGCATTGCAAACACCTTTTTATTATTCATATTTATTTATAAGACATCTGATGTCATTTTATGGCCTTTATTTCTTGTTTCAAATTATGAGCTTAATATTTGATTTTAGAATAATTTATTCGAAATATCTATTGAACTAAAAACCAATAAATGAATGGCTTCTTAAGAAACAGCTTTATCCTTATCTAATACACATCCATAAGTGAGTGCAGCTATTGAGCATGTTCTCAGTAAACAGATATTTGTGTACAAATATATATACACATATTATAAATTGCATACATATGTATTATATATGATATATATTACACATATATAATATGATATACGTATTTTCACAAACATATAGACATGATATTTACAATAAACCACGCTGAAACTCAGTGCTGTTTTTTCAAGAATCGTCTTAATTGCTCATTCTCTTCAGATTTTTAAATGTCATACTACATCTGTTACCTTATAAGGCTACTAGCCAAAAAAGGAGAAAGCATTTTGGATATTTTACCCATGTTCTGAGATGATAGAAATTCTATGTCCTCAGTCTGCAAGCAAACTTAATATTTCAGTAACTCTAAACATAGAAGAACTCTTTGTATAGTGTCTTAAATAAATAGCAGATGGATTTCAGGTTGTCTGTAATAAAATGTACATATACTCTGAAAAAAACTATAAATGTAGAATTTTGAGCTTTCTATTCATACCTTACTCTAGTGAGGAGGAAAAAAACTAAAGCTTACATTAGATTTCAGAATAGCTTGTTGTTATTGTCTGCTCAATAGCAAATAATATGAGGATCATAAAATATTGAAGAAGATGCTGAATTTCTTCTGGGAATGGATAGAAGTGCTCTCTGGTGTGTTAAATCATTTCAAAGGGTTCTTGATGAAAAGAAAACCATTTTATTGCCAAAGAAATTTTAGGTATACATGGGTTTACAAACTTCTATGGACCTGCTAGAAATTGTAGACGCAGCAATGAAGTAAAGAAACCAAGATAATGAAAGTCTTGTGTTTTGTGCTTACATAGTGATGTCTTTCTTTTGATTTGGATTAAATTTCAACTCATTTCATCAATTATTTTATTACACCATCAGCAAAATGTTAAAACTATTACATATTTACCTTTAATTTTTTACTGAATTACCATTCTGATAAAATTTCAATTTAAGATCCTATGAAGTTTTTATAAT